TAGATCTAAAAATAAAAATAGTCTTTTGGCTACTCAAAGTGAAACTATCAAAAAATTTGTGCGTAATAATATATGTCCTAACTATAAGATAAAATTATTTTCAAGTATAAATAAAACTCCTTGTATTTTATTTGCAGCTGTTGGATTAAGATGTGTGGATAACGTAGAATGTCAAAGTATAGCAAACGGCGAATGTAAACAGAATACATGCACATGCAAAGATAACTTCTTCTTAGACAACCATAATTCTTCAAATTGCATTAGTCGTAAGTAAAAACCATGATATTTATACATAAAAGAGTTGCGAAAAGAATCGAATATCTTGTCTTTGCACTCAGCAAATAGTTGAAATAAGAAATATTGTAGGACCCTCTAAAATCGGTGACCGCTGTCACATAAATACAAATGATAATATGTGCCAGGAAAGTTTCAATTTTGCGTTGTGCATCAATGAGAAGTGCGAGTGTTACACAGGACATCATTTTGTAAACGAAACAAGGACCTGCGTGCAGAGTCGAGGTATATATTTGCGTCTTTTATTTTATATAAGAGAGAGACGATCGATTGAGATTGTCAATCTCTGTGCTAGAAGAAAAAAAGGGAAATTAAAGAATTCTTTCTCTCTCTCTCTCTCTCTCTCTCTCTCTCTCTCTCTCTCTCTAAATTACAGTTGAATATTAATAAGACTAAAGTTATGATAGTTAGAGGAGTGAGGAAAAAAGTGATATTAGAAAATATTAAAATTAAAATACATGATGTATATTTAGAAGTAATAAATGAAATTAAATACCTGAGGGTAATCATTGATAAAAATTAAATTTTTCGAAACATATGAACTATACGAATAAAAAGATAGGAGCAAAATTAATGAGAAGAATAGATGCAAACTCGGTGATGATGAGATATACTGTTTATAAATCGGCTGTTGCACCGATATTGGATTATTGCTCATCAATTATGGTGGAATTAAATAAAGTCAACTTGGATCATTTACAAAAGTTGCAAAATCAGGGAATGAGAATTATTCTGAGATGTAATATAAGAATGAGAGTAAGAGACATACTTAAAGCATTAAGGTTTATGTAAGTTAAAGAAAAGTTTGAGTATAATGTTTGCGTTTTGATATTTAAAATGAAAAATGAAGTGTCCTAAATATTTAATAGATAAAATACAAATAGTGCAGTCAGTAAATGATAAGGAAACTAGACAGATAGGGAACTTAGTCATTGATAGATGCGAGACTGTAAAGGGCAACAAAAAATGTTGCTTTATAAAGAATTTAAAATATTTAATAAATTGCTAAATGAATTAAAAAGTGGGAGTAGAATACAAATCTTTAGGAGATTATTAATAAAATAATAAATTTGCATTAAATGCAAAGAGCATGGAGTAACTGATTAAATTTTTTATATATTTTTTATTGTATTGTATAAAAATTTGTTAAAAATTTTTATTATCATATGCAGTTGCATTGATGTATTCGTTATTGTAAGTAGCTAATGAGCTAATAAATATATTTATTCACACTCTTTCTCTCTCTCTCTCTCTCTCTCTCTCTCTCTCTCTCTCTCTATCTATCTTTTTCTCAGAAACTTTTAAGAGATCTTCTATCTTTGGAAATTTAGTAAAGAAAGCTATACTTTGGAAAATTTTCGTAAACTTTTATAAATTTATTGTACATTATTATTGAATTATCTTTAATAAAACTTTAATATGGAAATATTTATATTAATATAGTTTCATATTAGGAGTTATTAGCCTTCAAATAATAAACAGATGTTGACAAACAACTGCATATCTCGATTCCAGATGATCTCAAACAGAAATTCCAAGAAATTTTTATTTATAAATAGTTCGAAGGAGAACATGAATTTTGAAAAATGAGGGCAAATAAAAAATAATTAGTTTAAAGATAAAAGTCGATTTTTTTACATAAAGATCTTCAACAGAATGGAAAAATATTAAGTTTTTAAAAAGGAAATCTGAAATTCATGCTCTCCTTCAAACTATTTATAATGAACATTTTTTAAAATTTCTGTTTTAGATCATTATGCAGAATAAAAATTGCACATAAAATCGTGCATTATAGGTTTTTCAAAAAAAATTCTCGAAAATACTCTGTTCTTTTATTAAACCTCCAAAGAGATAAAAGAGCTTTTAATAAATTTTTACACGATTGAATTATAGCTTCATTACATTCTTTACTTTCTATATAAAGATTATGCGTTTCGCGGGTTTCTTCCGTGTTCTGATCCATTCTTGGAATGCCAACGTTTCATGAATTGCAAAGTTCACGAAACGTTGGCATTCCAAGAATGGATCTGGACATGGAAGAAACCCGCGAAACGCATAATCTTTATATAGAAAGGACTCGTGGAAATTAGGAATATTATCTTTACTTTCTACTTTGTGCAATTGATCAATTCAGTTTTCGAAAGAATTGTATATTAATTTTCAATGTTATTTTGTTTTACAGCTCTATACTACGCTTGTTCGCACAACTACGACTGCTATGACAGTAGTAGGTTTGCGGACACTATGGAGTGTAAGAATGATCAGTGCGTGTGTAAAGAGGGAGAACGATGTTCTAAAGGTTAATTGCGCTTAATTGTATCGTTACAAACTAATTCGGCCCAATTCTTCTAAGACTTGAGTTTTTATTTTCCTTTCACAGGTTCATTAATGACAGCCGCCGGGACACTTGTGGTAATCTTGTCCTTCCTACAACGAATTACACGCTAGAAAATTAATACGTATAGTAGGATATCCAATTATTTTAATCAATTTTATAATACCGTTTTATATTAAAACAATTTAATGCATGTGTCATGTAAATTATACTTTTGAATTTAATAATTTAATTCATTCAGTTTTAATAATTTAGCTATTTCTTTGTATTTGATTTTTATATTATATTTGTATTTTTAATAAATATAGCTCTCAATACATTATGACAAACAGATGTAACATAAAGTTTCACAAAAATTCTTGCGATTGCTATCGAAATAGAAGAAAGCATAATAGAAAGAAATAAATCTTTATCCGTTTTGCTTATTATTGACATTATTATCATCATATTACATTAATTTTTTTCTCGTAATCCTAAATTTTTAATATGCATTATCTCCAATTTTATTTATATAAATTAAATTATCTATTTTATACTTTTTATCTGTTTATAATATAATT